CTCCCTCAAGCATCCAAGGGCACAAACTGTCATCTCCATTTGGTAACACTGGCAGGACTGACTCTGGCCTTCTGGCTTTTCTCTAGTGAAGATTTCTGACAGCTGACAAGAGAGACCACAGGCTGCAAAGTAACATCTAAACTAAAGTGTGCCTCGCTTTTTGTTGTATTTGTATGTTAGTAATACTTCTGATAAGAAATATTTTCTCAATCTGTGTCTTAATTTTTTGGTAAGACAGTAAAACTATAGATAGAACTACTGGTAGAAATTGACAAGTGATTTCCTAGTTGGGATGTAGCAGACCTTTTTATACTTTGAATTTGTGATAAATAAGTGCACAAAAGGTGTATGCATATAGCCTGGTGAGAACAATAACACTGGGAAATATGTATTTATTTTACATTTGTGTACATAAGAACATTCATAGAGAATTATAGCCATGTAAAATTAGTACCAGCCAGAACGGTTGAAGATCTTGCTGAATTTTATGAGATTTTAGATGACTTTCCTAGTGAACACTTCACTTATACTTGAACTCGTTCCGGTAAAGATGAAGTCTTTTTAATACAGGGTTTGATAACTACACTAAACTACTACTTATAGTAGTAACTGACCTAGTACTAACTCCTGAAATGGCCTAAAAGTTACTTATTTCAGCTCATACAGCCGTGGGATTTTCAAATTCAGGAGGCTCAGTCCACAGGCTCTGGTGAGAAATGATCCACTTGCTCTTTCTGGCAGCACATACTTGAGACGGGAGGAGTCCATGCAGCACGCACAGGGAGAGGAATGTGGTAGGTAACCTCTGTGCTACATTACATACTGGCCCTGGAGCTGATGGCAAGAGGGAAAGGATTAGGCTGGTATTTACTGTATGAGGGCCATTTTACAGCTCAAGGTGCCGTTGTAGTCTTTGCAGCTATTACACAGAGATATTTGGACTAATGACTTGTAGATTTTCATTTTTAAATAACTCTTCAGAGGAGCCTGTATGTGTTTCACCTTGGGACAAACGCTCACCGCAGTGTCACTCTGTAAGAAACACAGAATTTCAAGAAGTGACTTCCCTCCGTTCTTGCTTCCCCGTCCTTTTTTAAAATTGATTTTTAAAAGAAGAAATAAAAGACTTAACCAGGGTGTTAAGACTGGCTGCCAGCAGCCCTGGCACCCCCAGCAGCCCGCCTGTGTGTAGGGACAGGGCGTGCGGCTCCGCGGCCGCCCGTGCCCCGCAGGTGGCGGCGTGCGGGGAAGGGTCCGGCCGCC